GATAGCAATAACTCTAGATTTTGCTGACAATCTAGTTGACTCTTATAGCAGCAGTCTTTCTTTCTTTACAGCTGGATACTTGCCTTGTTTTGTTAAACCCAAATTCCATCTCATTCTGCGTTATTTTGTGAGTTATTTGGCGTATTCCAGAAATAGAGATTTAATCCTGCATGCTAAATGTGTATTCTCTCTTTTTTTTAAAAAAAAAAAAATATGTATTTCTATGGATCACCTTCTACTCTGTTGCATTGGTTCAACAAATTATTTTATACAAGAATTTACAACAACTATATTCCTCAAGCATCCTCACTGTGCATGTCTACAAAATATTGTTGTCTTCACACATTTACTCTGTCATCATAAGTGGGAAAACCTCTTCATAGTTCTTTTATGCCTTCGTTTTCATTCTTTATATGGGATTTAGCCATTTGGGCTGAATTTCCTAAGGTGGCAGACATTATGCACCTGATCATGCTGCAGTAATATACAGGACACATATTAAATTCTAACTTAAGCTTTTTTTTTTCTTTTAAAAATAGGAATCGTTGAAAGATTTTTTATATAAAAGAGAAAATGGAGAACTACTAATCCAGAAATCCCGAAGACTGAAAGAAACTCTTTACAAAAAGGTATTACATCACAAAACATTTTGAGGGTTCTCCTAACGCTCCAGAACAATTTTGTTCCCTACTCGTTTGCTCCAGCCACCCAACTCAGTGGCCGTGCATTGTGGGAAAGGCAAAGGGGAACTGTGCCCACTTACCGTCTTACTCTCTCTTCTCGCAAACAGGAGCCGCTTTCCATTTCAAAAGATGGATTTATTCATTTTGGAGACACAGTTCTATTCATGAACCTAGACGTCACTAGACTCCCGGAGGAAAAAGCTTTAATTATGGGTGGAAATCTGTCCCTGGCTGTGAATCCGGATATATCGACTCTGTATACGGGCGATAATTTGTCAGCTCCGTGTGACTTGAGTGCAATCAATCATGTGAACCCCGTGGGGCGGAATGCATTTCGGATTTTAAGGTGGGACACTCTCTCGCAAAAAGACTTAGCAGTAAGATGGGCGAAGGACCAAGTCTAGTGAACGTTGAGAGGGAAAGGGATGGAACAATGGATGTCATTGTGGGAGGAGCCATGTTGATGACGCCACACCGAGAGCAGCTGGTAGGATGAACAGGGCCCAAAGGGAGAGTTAAATAAAACCAAAAGTGAGTGGGGACACTTATTCTCTCTTGACACACACAGACACGCATATCTCTTCCAAGGACCTCTTTACCCATGGTCCCCGCTGAACTCTGACCTAACGTGTTTGCAGTTGGCCTGAGAACCACATGGAATTAGTCTGAAGGTCACATATGGCCTTAAAACAGTAAGTCAGAGGTGGGCAACGTGATTCTCCAAGACCTGGAAGAATGGTCGCTCCCATGTGACACCGCTGCTGCGCGAGCTGCACTGGTTACCAGTGGTCTTCCGGGTGCGCTTTAAGGTGTTAGTTACCACCTTTAAAGCACTCCATGGCATTGGACCTGGCTACCTCCGAGACCGCCTTCTGCCACAGATTCCCTCCCATAGACCGGTACGCTCCCACAGAGCGGGCCTCCTCAGGGTGCCG